CAAGGTACGATTCAATATCTATTTAGTTGAGGATATTTTATTATACATGACTATTTTAGCTTGGACATGTGTAACTCTGCAAGGAAACCTCTTACCTGGTGTGTTATTAAAAATATAAAGTTAGGCTTGTTATTGTAATGAATGATATTATTGTCTTCATTTTGAAAATGTTCAAATATCCTTGATGAATAAGGATATTTTAATGAAAAATAAACCACACAACCACAAAAGTGAATAAAACGGACTCTCTGGCTCTGTTGTTACCGGCTCAGTAAACAGGGTGGGGTGGTTATGATTTACATGAGGTTAATATTCCAGCGTTTCCTGGAGCTGAATCAAAGAAACACAGATTAAACAGGAGAGTTCAGTTCCTAATAACCTGTGATGAGTGTCGGTGTTTATAGTTGAGGTGTAGAGTGAGTGCAGGTCAGCAGGGGAGTGGGGGGGGCACTCAGAGACTCTGACACGATACTTCTGCTCTGATCCTGAAACAGCGAATAATCATTTATTCGTTTTATTCATCAAATATATTTGAATCATTTTGAATTCTAATGTCCGACTGAATTTTCTTAAGAAGTAAATCCATTGGTCTTTGAAACGGTTCATATTTTCAATAACAAACCAAGTTAGAGGTTTCCTTGCACAGTTACACACGTCCAAGCAAAACTGGTATCGTACAATGATATATACTTAACTGAATAGATATTGAATCAAATCGAGACCTTGTGAATCGTGTGGATTCATAATAAACAGTAATTTTTATGGCCCTCAAAGGTTATTAAAATTAAAACAGCCCTGGACAGAGAGAAGGTTCCCAACCCCTGTTTTATGTAAAGTGCCTGGAGATAATGTTTATTATGATCTATTCAAATAAAATTGAATTGAATGAAACCAAGTGATCCACTATTTAGTTTCATTCCTTTTACATTTTCACGTCTCCGGTCTTACTACAGGTTTATCTATTGATAACAACTTATTGACTCTGCCAAGGAGTTTGTTTGTTTGTTTGTTTGTAAGCATGATTACACAAAAACAACTTCAGGAACTTTTTCACTCTTTTAATTTGTAGGGATGGAACAAGCTTTTCACCATTTTCCCCAGGAATGAATGTGAGGATCTTGTTAAAAAAAATATAATAATCTAAACCTGGAGCAGTGTGATTGATTAAAGGAGAATGTTGGGCCTTAGTTATGCTCTCGACTGAAGTTCATTCTTGTTTTGCCATTTGTGCAGAATTGTGTTTCCTGGAAGCTGGTTAAACTTACGTCCCTTTTTAATTGCACCCACCCTTATATTGATTTGTGTGATTGCAGCGGTTCATGTCTGAAGAGAGGAGCAGCGTGTGGGGTAAATCCAACATCACTCTGCCTCTTCAATACGCTGCACTTGTCAATGGCATCGCTGTAAGTTTGTTTAAATAAGAGCATCATCATATACAGAAAACAAAGATGTGGTGTGGTGCTGTTTCGACCTGATTATTACGACCGCAGGTTCACTCCATGGACTTTGACGACACATGGCACCCTGCTACTCATCCCTCGGGAGCCGTGCTGCCTGCGTTGCTGGCCCTGGTAGAGGCCCTGCCCAGCCGGACCTCCGGTCTCGACCTGCTGTTGGCCTTCAATGTTGGCATCGAGGTGCAGGGCCGACTCATGAGGTTCTCCAGAGAGGCGCACAACATCCCTGAAAGGTGAGGAACTTTCAAATGTTGCCCCAAATTTGAGTTCCATTTCTGTCTCATTGAACGTTAGTGTGGACTCGAGATATTATAGCACTGAGAAGCTGATTCATCTAAATTACATAAAGACCAACACCTACCTCAAGTGGTATTCATAGGTTTGGTTTTAGAAGTGGGGGCGGTGAACAGGTTTTATTTTGAGATAATCACAGTATTTGATGAAACAGGAAACAGTGTCCTCCAGTAGATTGTGCATTTAAACTATATTTTAAAAAAAGATTTGGGATCTGCCCCCTCATAGACATCAGTCCCTTAAACATTTTTTTCACCAAGATCCATTAATTATTCTCTGAGAAATGTTGACTTTTAAAAAAAAAGGACCTTTTCATTTCTATAAATAAGCAAACATAAAAATAAAAATCACTGACTAACTGTGCTAATCAAAGCCTTAGCTCTGACTTATTAAACTTGGATATATCCTCATAGTTTGCTCCTCCTTGTCTCCCAGATTCCACCCTCCCAGTGTTGTTGGGGTGATGGGCAGTGCTGCAGCCTCAGCGAAGCTCCTGGGTCTGTCCCCCACACAGTGCATTCATGCTCTGGCCATCGCGGCCTCCTCTGCCGGGGCCCCCCTGGCCAACGCCGCCACACAGACCAAGCCCCTCCACATAGGAAACGCAGCTCGCAGAGGCCTGGAGGCGGCTCAGCTGGCTCAGATTGGACTGGAGGGGAATCCGGCCATCCTGGATCTGGACCGGGGGTTTGGGGTTTACTACAAAGACTACAGTCCCTCAGCGATGCCAGATTCTGCTTCCAGTGGCTTTAAATGGATTCTGGAAGATCAGGACGTGGCTGTCAAGAGCATTCCCGCTCACTTGGGGATGCACTGGGTCGTGGATGCAGCTCTGGCAGCTCGAGGGAAGCTTGTAAAAGCGGACAGGAACTTTGACCTCAGGCACATCCGGCACATCACGCTGCGAGTTCCTCCATCCAAGTACATTGACTGCTCCTCCCCAGCCACAGAGCACCAGGCCAGGCACTCGTTTCAGTTCAACGCCTGTTCTGCGCTGCTGGACGACAAAGTGACGGTGTCCTCCTTCAGCGAAGCTCAAATCAGCCGACCCGCCCTGAAGGAGCTCCTGTCCAGAGTGACGGTGGAGACGCCTGAGGACAACCGGCCCAGCTTTGACGAGATGTACTGCGAGGTTGAGGTAGAAACAGTCGAGGGGCAGAGCTACACAGCCAGGTGCGATACCTTTTACGGCCACTGGAAGAAGCCACTGAGTCACAAGGACCTGGTGGATAAGTTCAGAGTTAACGCTTCGTCAGTGTTGTGCACAGAGGGAGTGGAGGGAACGATCGATGTGATCGGAAACATTGAACGAGTGAGTGAATGTTCGATCCTGGGTTCATATCTGAGGATGACACACGAGCAGTAACACAGCTTGTACTGTATCTACGTTTTTTTATTTGTTAATCAAATATACTTCTCTAATTTTCTGATAAACTGTTCTGTTAAATGTAGTAAATTTTCTTCTGTGGTGGAAGATAAAAATTAAAAAAATTAAATGAACTGAAAATGTCGACTTTTTCATTTTATTGCATTTTTTTGTACAATCCTCTACTTGCTATAGATTTTCATGTGATCAGTTCTGCTGTTATGACACTGATCCACTGCTTCAGATCTCTGTCATAACAACAAATAATCCTGGATGATGTGCAGATTTTTTCTACCAACGAGTATCTGGAAGTGCTTCTAATAGCGATGATGCTTTATCTTCTTAAAAATCAGCTCGGCAGGCAACCATCTCCATCTCATTTGAGTTTCAGTCAAGTCAAGCCAGTTTCAGCAAGTCCCGCACCATCGAGCCGATCCCGTCGAAGATCTCGTGGATGGGAGCGTTGCACATGAAGGCGCTGGTGGTGACCAGCTTGTTCTTCTCGTCCACGTGACTCTCGCCGACGCTCTTGCTCACGTGTTTGCAGCCCAGCTGGTTGATGGCCTCGGCGGTGCCGGTTGTGTCTGGGTACCTGACGTGAAGAGAGCAGGACCAAACAGTGTTCAGTTACTTGAAGGAAGATCTTTGTTAGATAAAAGAAAAGACAAAATATCTGAGCAAATCTTTCGAGAATTGAAATCTGAATTTGGCAAAAATAAGACAACTTTGGCAAATACAGCAGTCAAACTTTAACTCAATCGCCCCCTGGTGGGGACAGTTTATGTCATAAACCCTGCCTCCTCCATGTTAGTGGATCATATGGACCAAACTAAAAAGTGAATGTACACGTGAAATAAAGGTTTCTGTGTCATTTATTGAGAAAGTTTGGTTGTAAATAGTAACTTGATGATATAAACCTGGGTTGTAACATCATGAGTGACAGCTAAGACTGACCCGTGATTGGTTGGCAGGACCCGAACACTGTGGCCTCATCCCCTATCGCTACAGCTCCTGTTTCTCATCATGTGAAACTTCTACTTCAGTGTTGCTACATTGACAGATCTCAACATTTGTCTTATAATAAAATTCAAAGTAATAAAACTAGGAATATCTGGTTTGGTCAGACTCACTTGTCGTCTTTCTCCACGCCGACGGTGACCTCACACCCAGGGAGCACCTTGGCAGCCAGCACAGGTGAGATGCAGCAGAGTCCGATGGGTTTGCCCTCACCGTGGAACGCCTGCAGCGCCGCCTTGACCTCCTCGTTGACGGAGCAGTCCTTCCCCTGAACTGCCCACGTACACAGGTTCTTCGCTGCCCCGAAACCACCTGACAATCATCACAACAGAAGTGAGGTGAGAATATTTTATACAATCAGCGTCTAGACAGGAGAGAATTTAGACTGACAAAGAAATCATGTTGCTACGACCACACCTGGGAAGATAACGGCGTCGTGGTCTTTGACGCTGAGCTTCGACAGGTCCTGGATGTTTCCTCGAGCCAGCCGTGCGCTCTCCACCAGCACGTTCCTCTTCTCCTGAGATGGTTCGCCCTTCAGATGATCCACCACGTGCATCTGCTCAATGTTGGGGGCAAACATGTTCACCTGCAGGAGTAAAGGCAAAGGGGACGAGGTCATTACAAGGAAGCGTAGAACTCCAAACATGTTCTTCTGCCAGATGATGATCTGCACATTTTACAAATAGTAAATGTTTTCATCCATCCCTCCACCAAGTTTAGTACGAATCAGTTCAGTACATGAGGTGTAAACAAACTAAACAAACAAATAAACAAACACTTTACAGCCATTATAGTCCAGACGGAATAATTTTACACCAGACTTAAAGTACGTGAACCTTTACAAGTATTTACAGTCATGCACAATGTGTGTGTGTGTGTGTGTGTGTGTGTTCATGCAACACTTTCACAATAAATCAGTGAACGTCATTGCTACACAAAAGAGGAACACATGCAACAAGTCGTCAACAACATGAAAACAACACAACCGATCAAATTACAGATATTCTGCTGGTACACACCATAGACTGTCGGGCTTTTTAACATGGGAGTCAATGGGAATTGACTCCCTCTTGGAGCCAGCCTCAAGTGGCCACCCAGTGAACTGCAGTTATTTGCAC